CCGGAGGCCGACGTAGAGGAAAAACGCCCGGCTTGAACAGATCAGGTCGTCGGACATCAGGGGTCAAAAATCTAGCCCTGGACCTCTCCTGGGGTGCGTCCTGACAAGGATTTCCGGGCGGATCCAGGCGTGGCCACGAGGGCGCCCCAGGTCGATCAACCACCTCCAGAGAGCGATCCTCGAACCTCGAACATCAACGCGTCGGAGATCTGGAGAGGCGTGGCGCGCCCCGCCGCCGGTCGAAGGCCAGCTCAGGCACCCCGACCCTCCATCGATCGACAGATCGGCTGGAACGGCGGCCCATGTCGAGCCCAGGATCTCACTGGAGGCAGACTCTTCTTGAATGCAAGCAGTTGTTGAAGGCACATTGTGGTTGCAACGGGAGGGTCTTAATGAGCTCACTGGAGGCAACTGTGTTTGATGGCAGCATCTCTGGGTGCCGCAGCGGGCACCCGTTCTTGCCTTCAGTGAGCTCGCTGCCGCCGTCCCGTGGCCAACATGTGTGTCCGCCTTCAGTGAGCTCGCTGCCTTCACTGCGCTCGGATCTTCGGATAGATGATGGGCCTGTTTTCCACCACCACCACCGTAAGTTGGAGGGAGAGGGGGTCCTCCTCCTCATCCTCCTCCTCCTTCTCTCGTCCTCGTCCTCCTCCTTCCCCCCTCCAACTTATGGTAGTGGTGGTGCAAAACAGGCCCATCAATAGAGGGAGACAGAACAGCATACGCATAAACTTTCGACGGGTCGCGAGGACCGTCGACAATCTGTGTTTATGGTTTTGTTTATTGAATCGCTTCGCTCATTCCGCCGGCCCGTGATATGGCATCGCTGGTTTTTGTCTGTGTGTTCGTTGCCCATGTTGCGCTCTTGGGGGCGGGTGTCGTTCGGACGCGTTGCGTGGGGACTTTTGATGGTGAAGCAGTTCCCTGGGGGTCGTCTCTCGATGGGGCGAAATAGAGTCGTCGTCAAGATGCTTCTTTGGGGGGCCTCTTGGGGTCTGTTGAGAGGCCGTTCGGGGGCGCCTGGGAGACATGTTTGAAGCCTTCTGGGAGGACCGTCGACAATCTGTGTTTATGGTTTTGTTTATGCTTCGGCTTCCGTGGGCAATGGATCGTCCGAGCTCCCCGCTAACTCTCTTCATCGCGACCACGAGGGTGCGGAGGCCCCTCGAGGCGTAGGCGAGCAGGTGCGCCTGGGTGACGGTGCCGAAGGATTGCAAAAAAACCAAAGGATTGCAAACAAAAACGAAGGATTGCAAAAAAACCCTTCGTTTTTTTTGCAATCCTTCGTTTAAGCCGAAGGTTTTTTTGCAATCCTTCGGTTTTTTTGCAATCCTTCGTTCGAGGGGGGAGGGCTCGGCGGGAAGAGAGCGACGGGGACGAGGCAGAGGAGCGGAAGACGAGGCGGGGAGAGAACGATATGAAGGATGAGAAGGAAGGACAGCGATGAAGGACGAGGAGGGGGAGCACGAGGAGGGAAGAGAAGGATGGAGGGTGAGAGCGAGGATGGAGGACGACGAGGGGACGTGGAGGGGGAGGACGACAGAGAACAGTGGAGGACGAGGGGGGAGGACAGCGCTGGAGAACGAGGAGGGGAAGCACAAGGAGGGAAGATAGCGATGGAGGACTAGGAGGGAGCATGACGATGGAGGACGATGAGGGGGAGGACGAGGATAGGGGAGGACGAGGAGGGGGAGGCCGAGGAGGGGGGAGGGCGACGAAGCAAAGTGGCGGACGAAGAGTGAGGACAACGATGGAGGACGAGGAGGGGGCGGACGAGGAGGGAAGATAACGATGGAGAAGGGTGCGGAGGACGAGGAGAGAAGAGAAGTAAGGCGGGGGAGGACGAGAGTGCGGGAGGGTAATGGGAAATGGTGCGTAGGCGATCCACCTAGCCGCAACGCAGCAGCGGCGACTGGCTGGTCGCCGTCCTCTGCGGGCCAAAACCCTTCGCCCTTCATCGTAGCCCTTCATTGTAGGCCCATCTATATATATATATATATATATATGTATATATATAAACGAAGAACACCGTCACAAAAACAATGTTCTCCAAGATGAATTTGTTGCCCGGTTGGCGCAGGTGCGCTTGTGGTGCAGGCGGGTCCAGGATGCCGTGTGGGTGGCGCACAGGCGGTGGGATGCGCGCCGGAAGTCTTCTGGAAAACCACGGTCGCTGGTCCTCACCAGCTCCAGTGCGTCGCCGAGTTGCTGAGAACGCTCGTCGTAGGCAGGCAATGTGCAGTCGCCTCCGCCTTGGCGGAAAACCTCGATGCAGGCGCCCTTCCGCGCGAGCTTGCTCCCGGGGTCGGGCACTGTGCGTCGAGGGTTTGGGGGCTTAGCATCCACGCGGCGGTGCGGGCGAGGCGGTGCCATTGCGCGCGCCGGCGGGGGAGAAGGGGTTGCCATATCAGTTGCGCCCTTGGGGGGTGGGAGCGGTCTCGCCTCGAGAAAGCTACGTCGTAGCTCGCAGGCACCCACGTGCCTTGAGCCGAGACTAGAGAGAGAGAGAGAGAGAGAGAGAAAGAACGAGAGAGAGAGAGAGAGAGACAGAAACGAGAGAGAGAGAGAGAGGAGCAGCAGCAGGGGTGGAGGAAAATGGTGCTCGTCGTGAGCGCGTGCAATTGCGCCTGGCTATCCTTGCTCAGCGGCTCCCGCAGCAGCTGCTCCATCACTGCGTCCGCCCCCTTCGTGATGCACCACACCTCACCCTTGTACCTCACGAGCACGGACATGCGCTTACGGTCCGAGCTGAAGGGCAGCTCGAAAAGCTGCACGAACGTGCGCTGCTTCTCGCCGGGCCCGTGCACGATCAACTCGGACGAGGAGCCCGCATACTTGCGCTTGCGCCCCTCGGCAGGCCCTCATGCCCCCTTCTCCTCCTCCTGCTGCTCCCTTAACTCTCCTCATCCTTGCTGCGTCTGCTTTCCCCCATCCTCAGCCGCATTCTTCCTCCTCCTCCTCCTCCTCCTCGCTGCTTGCTCCTCCTCCTCCTCCTCCTCCTCCTCCTCCTCCTCCTCCTCCTCCTCCACCTTCTCCTCCTCCTCCTCCTCCTCCTCCTCCTCCTCCTCCTCCTCCTCCTCCTCCTCCTCCTCCTCCCCCTTTCGCTCCCTTCGTGTCCTCGTTCCCCTCGTCGCCGTCGTCGTCTTCGTCCTCCCGCCCCATCACGGCCAAGGAGGTTCCCAGACAGAACCAGTATCCGCTGAGGGGATCTCAATGGCAGCAAGGACAGGTGTGTCCTCCTCCTCCTCCTGCCCTCCTTTCTCCCCCCCCTCCTCCCCCTTCTCCCCCGACCGACCCGCTCTCCACCCCAGCTGGCTGGCCCTCCTCCTCCTCCTCCTCCTCCTCCTCCTCCTCCTCCTCCTCCTCCTCCTCCTCCTCCCCCTCCGCCTCCTCCTCCTCCTCCTCCTCCTCCTCCTGCTCCGCTCCCCCTCGTAAGGCTGGCCAGGCTCAGGCCCCCTCCGCTTGGCTTCAGGTGGCCTAGCACGCCGGCCCCCCAACCAGCCAGCCGCGTTCGCCACAGGCACGGCGGACAGATCTGCTCCGGAGCCCGAGGTGAGTTCAGGGCCACCCCGCCTCCCCCTCTGACAGTCCTCGAGCTGCCTTTAGCCTCCTTCGGGAGAGGGGAGGCGAACTTCAATATTGAAGTACGAAGTGCAATATTGGACATGTACTTCGATTTTGAACCTGAACTCCAATATTGAAGTACGAAGTTCAACAGTTCAACAATTCAATTTTGAGGTTCGGCATTGAACCTCTCCAATGAGTCAATCTGGAGTTCCAAGCTCATGTACTGGGTTGGACGGCCGCGGAACACGCTTCCCAAGTTGGAACTTCAATAGTGAAGGTCGTTTTCGATAAGTTCAATTCTCAATAAGTGAGTTGGACGAGCCATGGATCGGTAACGTTGGTCGCGAGACCTTCTCGGCTGCGCGGTGGAGAGACGGAGGGCCCCCTCCTCTACGCTCGTGTCTGGCGCAGTGGGGCATAGTCCCGCTCACACCGAGGCAGTCCCTACAGGTGCAGGTCTCAAATCAGTTGCTGCAGAGCAGACTATGGTTGAGTTGCCAGTCGTTGCTGCTACATGTAATGCTTGGAAATGGACGGAGCATCCCCCCCACGGAAGAGAGAGCCGTTCCCTGCTGGCACTTTAGTCCCATTCGTGCTCTTGGCCTCTTCTGAATCACCTCGTTTCATCCATGCGAATGTGGACAAGCGCAAGGGAGGGAAGTTACGAGTTGAGGATGAGGGTTGACGATGAGGTGACGAGCGCCTTGAGACGCTCCGATGCCCTGAAGGACTGGCTGCCGTTCCGTTTCTTCTCTCTTGCTCTGTCTTTGTCTCTCTCTCTCTCTCTCTCTCTCTGGCGCGGGTCCCCCTTCAGCGTCCTGCCAGGGGGTAGAGGCCAGTGACCCCGTCCTGGCGCCTCAGCACCAGGGGCCGATCTGGCCTCCCCCCGTCTTTTGTCGAGTTCTCTTCCGGGAAGATTCCACCGAGTCGGCCTTACAGTAGGCTGCAAGCTAACTTAGATGCGTGCACCCTCACGGCAGAGCTCAGCTGACTGAGTCACCCGAGGTCCTCGACCGACCGACCTCTTCCTCCTTCTCCCTCCTCCTCATCCTCCTCCTCACTTCCATGCCTCCTTGGAGCCTTGAACGGGATGCTCTCCTCCATCTCCCCCATCCTCCCTCCTCGCCTCCTCCTCCTCGCACTCTTCCACTCTTCCTTGTCACTCCTCATGGTACCTCCGCATCTTGCTTCCTCCGCCTCCGCCTCCTGCTCCCTTCTCATGTTCCGTCCTCCTCCTCCTGTACCCCCCGCTTCCTCTCCTTCTCCTTCTTCTTCTTCTGCTTCTTCTTCCTTTTCTCCTGTTTCTCTTCCTCCTCCTCCTCCTCCTCCTCCTCCTCTCCCCTTCTTCTCCTCTTCCTCCGCCTCCTCCTCTTCCTCCTCATCCTCCTCCCTGGAGCCTTGAATGAGATGCCGACCTGGTTGGCAGCGTTCACCAGCGCCACCTCGTCTGGCGAGGCCCCGGAGTACACAGCCGTGGAGGCGGTGGCGTCAGAGTTAACGGTCCTGTTCCCCTTCCTCCTCATCCTCCTCCTCCTCCCTTTCCTCGTTCTCCTCCTCACCCTCTTCCTCTTCCTCCTTCTCCTCCTCATCCTCCTCATCTTTGGCTTGGCTCGGCCGGATCAAGGCCTGTACATACGTGGCCCAGCCTCGGTCTGAGGAAAGAGAGGCAAGGAAAACTGGAAAAGGAGAAGCAGAAGCCCTCATCAGGACTAGGTTCAATCATGCAGAGGCTGTCGTGACATCAGGGGCTCCATCCAGCAGCGCTCAACGGACCAAGGACGATCGAGACAGTCAATCGCAGGACATGAACGGACCAAGAAGCAGCGAAGTTGCCCAATTGTCCGACACATGAACTCGTTCGCCCGCAAATCTCATGCAAACAGACCTGCCACACAGCCACAAACCCCACAGTAATACGTGAAAGGAGGAGGCAGACATTGGCTTAGACAGTCCTTCCTTCACTCACAGCTCAAGTGCAGGTGCCCCCCACCCCCAGCGCCTCCCTCCACTCTCCAAGTCCTGAATGTCCTGAGACAACCAGTCAAGTTGAACAGGCAAGCAAGAGAGAAGGGACCAAGCAAGGTGTTGGATCCAGCGGCGCGCGCATGCAGTTCCAAAAGAGTCCCAGCCTTCTGTGCCACGAGCTCACTCACAAGTGGAAACTTTACAACCGAAATGCACTGACCCAAGTCGGGCTCACCGTGATCCACGGCGCACGGTCGTGTTTGGCACATAGGCTCAGCGGTGAAGCCTCCCTTGAAGCAGGCATTATCACACTGAGCGGTCTTGCACTCTTGAGACTTGAAGGACCCCTTCACCCATGGCTCGGGAGCCGTCCTTGCAGCTCTACCCAATGCTCCAGCGAGAAATTTAGGACGCGCACGCCCTGGTTGTTTCGAACGCGCTCTCTGTCCATAATGTCCTGGTAGTCAACTTCTTTTCGTTGGTTTTAGCCAGCAATCACAAATTCACGCAATCATTTCCAGCGTTGGCTTGGCTGGGGCGGTGGTGCGAGTGGCCACGTCCACGGGCGCGGATGGCGGCAAGACCTTCTGCCCCTGCTCAAATTCAGTGCATTTCCATCGCGCAGGACCACACATCCTAGACGCAGCCTTCTCAACAACATTCTCACATTTCCCGCTTCCTGTTCTTCTGCAGCGAGGCACTATCACTCCTCCATTCCTCAACCTCCTCCTCCCTGACGGGTCCATCTAAGGCTGCTATGCCAGCTCGTAGCCCAAGCGCCGTTCTGCTTGAGATGCTTCATGAGCGAGGCGAAGGAGGGTGAGGAGGCAGAGGTTCGCCTGTGCGTCATAGAGGCGCTGGCCATCGATGAGGGCTGGGCAAAGGAGAGGTTCTCAGGCGTGAAGATGCACGACCCGCTGTTCGCATTTAGCGACGATAAGTTTGTCACGAGGGCGGACGTCCAGAAGGTGGTGATGCAGGCGGCCGTGGCTGAAGGAGTTGACCCGAACAACCTTCACTCGCACAGCTTGAGGATCGGGGGCGCGTCTGCCCTGTACGCGGCGTTCAAGGGCACGGCGCTCGTGCAGTGGTGGGGGCGCTGGAACAGCGACGCGCTCCAGGGCTACCCCTGGGAGGCGAGGGACATGGCGCAGGGCGTGGCCAGCAGCATGGCGACCGCGGATCTGACAGTGGTCCGAGGAGGAGGAGGAAGAAGCGCAGCGAGCGGCCGCAGAGGAGCCTCTGAGGTTCGGGCGCAGGGGCAGCCGACAGGCTGTATAGCCCAGTGGCCGTGGCGCGGGGGAGTCTCGCGAGGTTCGTGGGGGCGGCGGCCCGAGGCCGGCGGCAGCAGGGCGGGCCGGAGTGCGCGGCAGCAGGGCTGCCACAGGTTCCAGGGCCATGGCGCCAGCGCCAGTTGCCGCAGCGCACGCGCGAGCCCGAGGTGCAGAGGAGCGCTGGGAAGTGGCAGGGCCAGGTCCCCCCTCCGGTGCGGGCGGGGGCCCGGGGCCCTTGATCGGTGGTGGACCAACCTCCCTTCAATAAGCCTCCCCTTCGTGAAGACGGCCTGGGACCGAAACCGACGGACCTGGACCCGCAAAGATGCCGGCCGCGACGCCCTCTCGCGAACCGAAAACGGCCAATTCCTTAATCCACGTGTCAGGGTAGGAGGTCTACCCTTAAGTCGGACCTGCCCCCCTACAGGGGGATTTTCGACGAAAAATAAAACATACCTGCAAAATACCCCCGAAAGGTCAGAAAATACTAAAAGAAATAGTCCTCAGACTATTTTTGGACTGATTTTGGATTATCTTTAGGGTCTGTTTTGTTTTTCGCCGAAGATCCCCCTGTAGGGGGACAGGCCCGACTTAAGTCTGTCCACCTCCGACTTGAGGGGGGCCCCGCGGCCCGCGGCGCGTGGCGTCAATCGGGTCGGGCTAAAGGGGGGGATAGCAAAGGGGGGGTTTGAGAATCAACTCACGTAGCTGATGTTCCCGGCGCCTCCCAGCGCCGGGAGGCGGCCATGCATCGAGGAATGGGCCCCTCGGCGGGGCCGAAACCAGCTGCATGCAGCAAACTTTGTAACCCCCCTTTCCCAATCCCCCCCTTTCGTCCGGCCCGCGGCCCCGTGGCGCCAATAGGAGCTCCATGGGGAGGGCAGCGGCCACGGCGAGGCGCCGGGCCGAGAGACCGCGCGCCTCGGCGGGCGGGACCGCCCGCCGGGCGCCCTCGGGCCACGAGGAAAAAGGTGCGCCTTCGATGGTCGTGATCCTCCTCCTCCTCCTCCTCCTCCTCATCATCATCATCACCACCACCACCATCATCATCATCATCATCATCAACATCATCATCATCGTCATCATCATCATCACCACCACACCCATCATCATCATCATCATCGTCATCATCATCATCATCATCATTCATCATCATCATCGTCATCATCATAATCATCCTCATCCTCATCCTCATCCTCATCCTCATCCTTATCCTCCTGCACCTCATCCTCATCCTCATCCTGATCCTCATCATCCTCCTCATCATCCTCCTCATCATCACCATCATAATCATCATCATCATCATCATCACCATCATCTTCCTCCTCCTCCTCATCATCATCAGCATCATCATCCTCATCATCATCATCATCATCATCAGCATCAGCATCATCATCGCCATCACCATCACCATCACTATCACCATCACCATCACCATCACCATCACCATCATCACCATCACCATCATCATCATCATCATCATCATCATCATCATCATCATTATCACCATCACCATCACCATCACCATCCTCCTCCTCGCCATCGCCATCTGGTGAGGAGGGAGGAGTGGCGGCCTGCCAGGCTCGGGAGCCCATCGACCCCGATCTGCCTTATTAGGGTGCAGGGGCGAAGACGTGAGGAGGAAACTGGAGGTGTGGGAGGGAGGAGGAGGGCGATATTTTCTTCGTCGACCATCACCGTAGCCGTTGCTGTCGTCGTCGTCGTCGTATCCGTCGTCCACTCGGATTCGCTCTCACACCCAAACGCTCACAACCAGACGCGCATAGCGAGACGTGCCAGGAACATGGGATACACATGTGGGGATCTCCGCGTCGAGTAATCCCACCAGCCCTCTGGGCGTAGGTGGTCTAGAGCAGATCCTCTTCCACCCCTCCCTCTTCCCCCTTGGGGAGGGGTTTACCCCTCCCCCTACCCCCTCCCCTGGACCTGGACGGGGGGGGCCGCGGGTAGTTAGAGCGTCCCAGATGGCCCAAGACGGCTCCAAGAGCGCCTCAGAGAACCCAAGATGAGCTCCAAGATGGCTCAAGATAGCGCAAGATCGCTCGAGATGGCTCCTAAGATGGTTCCAAGAAGCCCAAAGACGGCCCCAAGATAACTCCAAGTGGCCAAACAGCTCCCCAAGGAGGCCCCGAAGAGGCCAAAATCGTCCCAAAACCTAAGGAAAATCAATGATTTTTGCTTTCTCGCCTTTTCGCTTCCGATGGCCATCCGAGGCCTGGAGATGGTTCCAAGATGGCCCAAGAGGGCCCCAAGAGAGCCCCAAAAGAGCCCCAAGACGGCCCCAAGAGCGCCCAAGAGCACTCCAAGAGCGTTCCAAGAGGGGTCCAAGAGGCGATTTTAGGGGCTTCCGAGGGGGGACGCTAATTAAACCCCCCCTCTTGTTTGATCGATCTCCTCCAAGATGGCCCCAAGAAGCGCCCAGGAAGCCCCAAGAGGTCCCAACATGGCCCCAAAATGGCCCCAAGAGGCCCCCAAGAGGCCCCCCGGAGGCCCCCAAGAGACCCCCAAGAGGCCCCAAGAGCCCCCCCAGATGCACCCAAGATGCTCCAAGAGGCCTCGGCGAGAATGCCTAATCATTGATTCTACACAGGTTTTAGCCACATGGAGGCCTCTTGGGGGGGGGCACGGATTAAGATGACTCCAAGAGCGTCTGGGAGAGCCCAAAATGACCTCCAAGATGGCTCAAGATATCCCAAGATGTCTCATAATGGCTTCCTCTGTGTGCTGCCCACTTCTCTGATCGAGGCAATTCCTCTGGGCATCGTTTCTGGATGGGCTGGTGGGGATTCGCGAAGCGACAACAATTCGGCATGCCTACAGTAGCCTAGGACACGCACGTGTCAGCCGATCCATGTTCCGAGGCGGAAGTGCGGCTGACTGCCGCCTCACACGCTGCTGATGTTGATATCGCTGTTCGTCCCAACCAGGCCGGGATCACTCTTCCCTCCTTCCCCCCCTCCTCCCCTCCGCTCCCCTCCTTCCCCCCCTCCGCTCCCCTCCTCCTTCCCCCCCATCCGCTCCCCTCCTTCCCCCCCTCCGCTCCCCTCCTTCCCCCCCTTCGCTCCCCTCCTCCTCCCCCCCCTCCTCCCTCCCTCCCTCCCTCCCTCCCCCCGCCTGGGAGTCTCTTGCGGAAGCGGGCAGGCGTCGCCCATGCCGCCGGGATCGGTGCCGTCCTGGGGACAGCTCGCGCGCCGGGGGAGGGAGGAGGCGGGGAAGCTGTGGGTGGGGAGGGAGGGAGGAGGAAGAGGGGGAAAGGAGGCGAGGGAGGCAAGCTAGATAGGCTCGCGCCCCATCGGACATCCGATCCCTTCCTCCCGTCCGTTCCCATGGCGCTGACTTTTCTCTGGTCCGCAAACGCGTGTCATAGCCGACCTGCGACTCACACAGAGCGACCACTTCGTGTGATGCGCAGTCGGAAAGAGGAGAGCTGCGTGCACAGGAAGGCGAAGGTGGCAGGTGTGCAGGAGGATGAGCGGGAGGAAAAGAAGAAGGAGGACAAGCAGCAGCAGCAGCAGCAGCAGGAACTAAGGCAGAAGGCGGAGGAGGGGAACATGAGGGGGGCGGCAACAATGAATGAAGACTCGGATTCAGAAAAGTGGCCCACGCGGAGGCGAGGCGAACAACAACAGCAGAACCTCGACTGGAAGGGATGTGAGGAACACGAGGACCAGGGGAAGGCGGAGGAGGGGAAACGATGGGGGGGGGACCACAGTAAAGCAAGACTCAAATGTAGAAAAATGGCCCGCGCTGGGGCGAGAGCGCCTTTCTGATCGACGGGAACAACAGGCCGATCCGAAAATGAGGCCCACGCTGCAGCGGGAGAAATTCAGGACAACTTCAAGGGGATGAGGGATAATAGCTTTCGTATCGTTTAATTGGTGAGGGAGGGGGGGTGGGAGGCAGCAGGACGAGGAGGAGGGGGAAGAGGATGATGAGGAGGATGAGGATGAGGATGAGGAGGAGGAGGAGCAGGAGGAGGAGAGAAGGATGGAGGAGGAGAGGAGGAGGATGATGATAATGAGGAGGAGGAGGAGGAGGAGGACAAGCTAGGTGCGCTCGCGCCATGTCTAACGTCATACTCCTCCCTCCAATCCCCTACCATGTCGTAGCTATCCTCTCTATTCGCACAGTCGGATATCGAACAGGGCAATGATCGCGAGATGGTACGCGATGCATGGTAGAGCACGACATGACATGGCGTAGAAGAGCGCGGCAGACCGTAGCGTGCCATAGCATGGCGTGGCATTGAGCGGTGAAGCATTGTATCGAAAAAACGTTGCAGCTCAAAGCATGGCATCGCGCATCGGCGCAGAACGCAACACCGCACAACATGTCATGGCATGGCGCCGGGTTCCTTGGATGGATCGTCTTCGAGAGGTGTGGGCCGGTTTGGAATCGTGGCTCCGTGTCTAACTCCTTGGGCTCCGCGAAAAAGCTCCACACAAGCCTGGGCTGATGGAGAGCACCCGCTGGCTCTGCTTCCAACACCGCCTTCTCAAAATAGAAACGGGGCTCCCACTTGATATTTCCTGAAAGCGACGACGCCCCAAAGTGGGGGGGGGGTCTGCGGCCCATAAACTCAACGAATCGACATCGAATGTGGAATCACTTCCAATGTTTTTTTTTTTCCGGGGGCCATTTCCTAAATTTTGGGACCTATGTGGAAAGACCGAACGCGCCCGCGCTGCAGCGGGAACACGGTTTGGAACAATCAGAAGCGCAGAAGTGGGGCCAGCGTATCAGCGCTAACCAAGCGAAAGCCCGAACCCCAGGAATCGTGAAACAAAAACAATGCGCGGAGGGGGGCCGGACATCATCCGGACGTCATCAGGGGAGAGCGGAAAGTAGTATTCATATTGTTGTGTAAGTATGGGAAAAGAGGACGACGAATAGGAGGAGGAACAGGAGGAGGAAACGGAGGAGGAAAAGGAGGATGAGGCGGAGGAAGGGGAAGAGGGAGGAAAAGGAGGAGGAGGAGGGAAGGGGGGCCGGCGGCGGCGGATGGCCATCCCGCGCGCAGGAGAGACATCGATGCTCGAAGGCGCCCCCCCTCGAGGGATCCTCAGACGGGGGGCCGAGGGTGACCCACACATCCGACGTCTTGATCCTCTCGCAACGTGGACCCCCAAGAGGAGGAGGAGGAGGACGAGACTAGGCATGAGGATGTAAGAAGTGTTGTGGACATGCGAATGTTTTTCCTGAAGCCAGAATGTACAAATAACTGCTGAAGGTTCAAACAAAGCGGGCGGTGCGTTTGGCCAGATTCCGTGCCCCAGGGCAAAAGCGGCATCGGCAAAGCGATATCATTGCAACGGGCACAGGTGAGACAAGACAAGTGAACTACCGTTCGAGTCTGGTGCTCAAGCCTGTCCATCGTGCAATCGGTAGAACGCTGCAAAGGAGGGCTCTACGAACCGCCTCTTCGTACACAAGTTGCCTGGCCGCGAGAGGACGCGGTCACCTGGGTTTGACATGTTTCGGAGTTGTCAAACTTCGCTTCGCCCCACGGGCACATTGGCCCCGAGCGGCGAAAACCGCATACAATTTTACAGTGCCAGTGGCAGGGGTGAAATTTCTCCTGACAGAGCTCCTCACACTAGTCGGAGCAGGCTAACTTATCCCCGCAACAAAACGATGCGATCATATTAAATTAGCGACTGCTACAGAAGCGTGAGCTGCACGGGCACAGTCCGCGCGACCACACTCACTTGAGTGCTCAACTCGTCAATCTCGCACGTTGGTCCCCGAATATGTTGGAGCACGCATCCCGCCCGCGGTAGGCCAATGCGCCTCTTGCGTGTGTGTATGTACATATATGCATGTGTATATATATACTCGTTTCCGACTCTGCGTGTCATCGTGACACTGCCACGAGGATAATCCTCTTCCGCTTTTCGTCGCTGAACTTGACCGTGGCGTGCTCATAGCTGATCTGGCCGCTCATCGCGCTGAGGATCAGCTCTCGGCCCATGTTGCCCTCGGTCATGGGGCCAGCCCGCGTGTCCCGAATGTCGCGCCAGAGCAAGTCGTCGATCTGCTTCGTGCGCAGCCGGCCGGCGAACCGCTGCAGGCGGGCAGCCGCGCAGTAGTCGGAAGGCGGCCGGGCCGGGTCCGCGAGCAAGGCGCTCAAGACGGACGCGCCGCCTACGCCGAGGTCTGCAGGGATCGCGTAACCTCCTTCCTCCCTCGGTCCCCCGATCTCCTCGGCGGAGGCGGGGCCGCGAGCCGTCTCGCGCGGCGCGGGGAGGTGCGCCCGCAGACCGTCTGCTGCGCCGAATGTTGCCAGCAGCTCGGAGCCGAATGAGGACTTGCACACAAGCTTGTGCGATCGGCTCACACCGCGCAGCAGGTGGCACGCCTGTTTGCCGGTGCGGCGGCATTTCCCATCATGCCGTATCCTGATTCCTCCACCCCCTGAAAGGGCCCGTCGATGTGCGCGCTGAGTCGCCGGGCGCGCTCCGCTGATGGAAATGTGATGCGCACCTTGACTTTCTGCGTGGCCAGAACAACGGAGTTGATCTGCATCGCGCCGATGCACGCCGCGACGTGGCGCTGGGCGAGCAGGGCGCAGGCCGCTCCCGGGAGGGCGACAAAGAGATCGGGAAGCTGATCTCCGGCTGGCTCGTCAGCCTTGGCCGTGCCCAGGTCGACATGTCTGATCGGTATCAGGGCGTCGATGCACTCCTCCTGGTCGAGCGTTGCGGTGCCATCGGCGCTGCGGTGCTGGTGCGCTCCGCAATTGGTGAAGCCGTCGTAGTCGCACTTCATCCTGCCGAAGACGCTCTCGATGTGGCTGAGCAGCCGGTCGACGAGCTCCTAGTGCCCAGCTGTCTTCAGATCACCACCGCGCTTCGACAACATGAGCACTTGTTTCGAGACGCCGATTGCGCGACTGCTGGGCGCCGCGCGCTCGACATCAGCAACGCGGCTGCGGGGCGTCGCGTGCTTGACCTCGAGCTCCAGGCCCCATCTGGTAAGCGCTAGGCGCTGAATCCAGGTGGGCGCGTGGCCTGGGCGAGTTTCGTGGAGAAGGCTCGGGGCGCATCCTCGCTGCCCGTGCCTGGCTCGCGGGCGCTCGGGCCGCTAGTCGAGACTCTCGTGGGCGGGCACCTGCCTGAGGGTGGCTGCGCTGCCGGGTGGCAGGGTGAAGTTCGCCTCTCGAAGTGCTTCGACTTGCCCCTGCTTCCCTGCGTAGGTCGCGCCACGCAGGGATGCCCTCTCGACGTCATCGGCGATGCGCGCCCGGCCGGGGCGACGCGCCGCCGAGGGGCGCCCGCTTCGCTGCCCCAGCAAACTGCCAGGACCATCCGGCGCCGCATGATCCTTTCTGGTGCGCCCGCTTGCAGACATGTCCGGGGTCCATAACGTTTCGGGCGCCATTGAGCGGAAACCTCTCGAAGCGCATGCACTTGCCCCGGATGGTGAGCTCCCCGAGGATGGCTGCTGCGACCTCCTTCGACAACCTCGACGCTGCCTCGTTGGGCAGAAAGTCGGCCTCGCGCGTGATGGCCGCGGTCTTGGCGGCGGCGTCGATGCTAAGCGAGGCTGCCTCAAAAGCGCCGGCGCCGCAGTCGCTGGACGCAGCCTCGTTGCAGCTCAGGAATGCTTCGCGCGCCCCTGGATGGATCCATATTCAACTCCACATGTCCATAGCGTGGCGTAGTCGTCCAAGGAGGCCCCGCGAAAGTAGTAGTGGTACTGCGCGTGCGTGCTCTGGCGTTGGCGCTGCGCCTCGAGGCGCAGGGGCCGCTCGCGTGGCCTATGGCCCAGGTCGGCCGCGGCGTGCTCGGCGGCAGCGGAGATCTCATGCTAGCTGTGGGCGCTCGTCAGCTCCTCCAGCTCTTGGGTTAGATCTTCTGCCCCCTCGACTTCGCGCCGAGCGGCCAACGTCACCTGTTGGGCGTGGCTGGAGAAGTCTCTGCGCGTCTCCTCTGGTATAGCCGATAGGGCTGATAGTGATCCACCTTCATTGGTGCTGGCGGAGTCCTCGGGAACGTCGATGCCGCAGTCTTCGAACCTTCCGTCCGGATCCTGTCCGGCGTCTGTTGCCGGTGACGGCTCATCGCCCAAGATAAACTGGATAATGCGAGCTTCCTTCCACTGCTCGTCGATGGGCTCGTAGGCGTCGAAAGTGGCGCCCTCGAAGTGGACCTGCTGGACGTCGGCAGGGTTC